AAATTATTTGAAATGTTTAAAAAAAATGGTACGTAAATTTGAAAAACCCTTAGAGCAAGTCGTCAAAAGGTATGATGAGTTTTTAACTTTTACTGAGCCTAAAATTCCCTTATCTTCCAATAACGAAATAGTGTTTAAAAAACTACATGATGAGGGTCCATTAGTCGAGCAGTGTTCTGGGCCTCAATTTAAAATTATGATAATGAGTAACTTTAAAATTAATACTACTTCTAGTTCTAATTGTTATATTGGATTTAAATCGAAAGAGAACGAATTAAATATTTGTAAAGTTGAAAATATTACTAAAAATGTACTTGTTATTAAATATTTTGATAAAATTGAACCTTTTTTTGTTAAACCAATCAATAGTTTAACATTAGGTATAGCTGTAGTTGATAATTTATCTAGTATTTATAAAACAATAATTAATATTCAAGAAATAAAACTGAAAAAATATGTGATTTTTAATGACTCAGATAATGTAAAAATTGCTATCCCTATATTACATTCTAATAGTGAATTTTAATTTTATGTAATGACATTTTTAAAACCTTATTTATTAATGTAATATTTAAATTGTGCATATATCTGTATTCTGTAAAAATAATCTTTATTTTGTATGTAATTATACTTGTATTGTCCAATGAATATTTTGATATAAGTTAATTATAATTAATATTTAAAAAACATATTGTCTTCATTTATTTTAGGTAGAAATTAATTAAAAAATAATGTCATCCTACTCTGTTGTTCATTTCCTAAATGACAACTCGGTTGAAGCAGTTCCTAGTACCTGGATAAAGGCTGGTAAAAAGCCTGGTGTTAATTTATGTGCTTGGCCTCACAATAAAGCATGCATTATCAAGTACATACAAAATAAACACATGCCAAATGAAATAGACTTTAAGTATTTCAAAGTACGAGTACTAAAAAAAAATTTGGGTAAATTCTTTAATACTGTAATTGCCATGTTTTGATTTATTAATTACAAATTTTTTATTGTATAATCTTAAATAGGATCTTTAACAAACGCTAGAGATGTAGCAGACGATGCTAGGTATAGGTCGGACTTTACAAATACTGAAGAAGATGATTTACTTAACATCAGCAATATTATTAATTCACCTACATCATCAACTTCATCTATGCTCATTTATGATGGTAAAATAAACATATGGTATAATAGTTAACTTTTTTTAAAATTATATCATTTTGTATTCAGATGAAAAAGCTAATGATGATATAAGATTTCTCAACGATCAACACTTATTACCACTAAAAGACTCACCAAAAAAATTAATTAAACACACAAAGTCTAAATTGGTACCAGGCTGGTCACCCAATAAACCACTATCCACAAATAAAGAACATGAAAGTAATTTGTATATTAAATATTTTGCATTTTTAAGTATGTATTTGAATTGACCTTAACATAATATTTACAATTAAATTCATATTTATATAGGTATAGTTGAAAATTACAAATTAAATGCATCAACTGATCTAATTAAGCTACATTCTAGTTTTTCCAAAAATCTAAGAGGTAATAATAATTAAATAATAAATTATATTAATAAAATAACATCTACACATATTTATTTCAAAGATGCCAAATATTGCATATTTTACAGATAAAAACAAAACCGTGTAATATAAATGATGAACGCAACACGGGACTTTGGGTTCACATAAATATTATCTTTATTGAAAATACATNAAAATAACATCTACACATATTTATTTCAAAGATGCCAAATATTGCATATTTTACAGATAAAAACAAAACCGTACGCCAACTTTCCTATTTCAATAAAGCAACACCCACTTTAGTAAAAAAAAATGAACCAACAACAAGTGAGTTATGTTTAATACTATAAATATTATATATATATATATATATAAGAATATCTCTGTTTATATAGTATTATCTACTACAAAAAATTTATATTTTGAAAAGTTGGATGTACAATGATATCTATATAGGACCTAGGTTATATACATCATCCAATATTATAATAACTATATTTTAGGTACCCCTATATTGAATCAAAGTAATAATATTCGTTTTGGTGAATTGGAAGAAGCTTATTGTGATCATCATACTCTTGACACAAGTAATAACTATGAACATTATTATATTTATATATTATTTAGTTTTTGATGTTACTTATATCTGAACAACATTTACTCAGTTTGTTCAATAGTATAAATAATGATGAATTATTTTTTTTTTTTTTATAATTGCTTTATTTTTATTAATTAGATATTAAAGTATGTAAAATCCAATTTGAAAATCAATCGTTTTAAATTGTGTAATATAAATTAATTTTTTGGATTAAGATTATTTAGGTATAATTTTGGTAATATTTAGATTATATAGTTTGGTTGTTATACATGGTGTCTTTCAAATCAGATTTACAAATTGTTCAATTTTGTTTATTTATCTTCAGAATTAATAAATTAGATTAAATAAATAAATTCAATAATATTGAATAGAATAAAAATGATCATATTCTTCAGGTCTCTGTGAGGAGCCCTGTATATACTGTTAATTATAACTAATTGTTGATTACTTTTTAACAATGCCTAATTATTATTATTTTTAGATAACCAACCAAATGGTTTAAAATTAAGTAATGTTGTAGAAGGTTTGTCAAGCTTCAATTCTAGTGGCACACAACCTGCAGGTAATATAATATACAATAATATTTCATAAATTACCTAAGTTAAATTATTACACCATCATATTATTCAAATATTTACTATACATTAATGTGTTATTATTATTTTATTATTCAGGAGATATTGAATTCCAAAGTTATGTGAACAAAAATATGGCTTTTCTGAAAATTGAATTAAAACAAATTCAAAGCAATCAATTGATTATTTTGGATCGTTTAGAGTCTTTACAGTTGCAATTGGAAGATCAACCTCGGTCCTCTGCAAACAAAAATTTTGCAATCAATCAGTTAAATGAATGTCCATTACCAATAGACAACATTACCGACTTACAAATTTTTGAAGATAAAATTGCTGGTGATAACGAATTTAGAACATGTGTGGTAATATTTATAATTTGTAGTAGTTAAAAAATTCAAAATAAAATATATTCATCTAAAAAACAAAACAAATAATTTCTAGGTTAAGGAACTTACATATATAGGTGGGAAACATGTCAAGGCAATGGTGCGCAGAATTATGTCCAAACTATGTACAGATGAGTTGCTACAACACTATTCTTACAACGGAAAAAAGGGAAAAATTCCATTTTGTTCTTTGAGCATTTGTAGTATTATATTTGGTAAGAATATACTTATTGATTATAATTCCATATTTTATACGCATGTAAAATATTTGCAATAAAGAACTTTATATTATTTATAATGAATATATAATATATATATTATATATTATTAAAAATATTCAACATATACTAATAAATATTTTGGGTATTATGTAATCTATTTAATATAAGAAGTGATCAGGGCGATGACTGGTTTTTGTTATTTACTTTTTTGTCTAATTAAATATAATATATAATATTGCTTTAAAATTTCAGATGCTATAAAAAAACAAGGAAAATTTAAAAATGTAAGCCAAGATGAAATAGAAGAAACCATAAAATACGTTTTGGTTCAACCTCCATTTACTATCAAAAGACACCTGCTACAAAAGACTGCAGTCACAAAATAATAATTTTTTCTCTTAAATCTTGTTATATGATTCAATATAATAAACAAATAAGTTAATGTTAATACAGTGTTTTTATAACTAATTTAGGTTTTTATGATTTACCCGATCATATATAATATATAGTCTATATAAAGATGAGCATGGTGTAGCTTAGTGTCTGGCCATAGTCAGTAGTCACTGAATAGTGCTGGGAGATCACCGGGTTTTTAGTGACGAAGCTATGTTCCATATACATATATACCTTTATAGTGTCTCCAACCTACAGTTTCACTGTTCCTCCCTCTCCTACTGTTTCCTGTTTTACGGCCAACGGCCATAGTTGCTGCGGGCTTACTTAATAAATAAATAATAATGTTGTGTATATATGAGGACGAAGATATACATATTATTATATATGTTATATATATATTAACATAAAAATATTTTTTTTCTCAATATTACATATGAGCATAATATATGATTTCTCCTGATAAAAAAATATCTAGCTATAGTATACCTATTTGTACTTAATCTATATGGTAAATGGTAATTGGATCATACAATTCATTGCAATTTGATGAATAAATTAAATAATAAATCATATTTCCAAAATATTTCCATTTTCAATTTTTTGCATTGCAATATCAAGGTTTAATAAATATATTAAAAGACAATAATTAACCTATTACAAAGGTTTGCTTAACATTTTTTGACATAAGTTATAAACATTTAATCAACATTAGTAGTCAATGTTCATAAAATATTATTTTTTAAATCAAATATAAACATTTTTTTTCTGTTCAACTAATGTTTATACAGTGTTTAATAAACCTAAAAAAAACATATACTAAATCAATATTTCATGTTTATTAAATATTCTTGGTTAACATTAAATGTTAAATAAACATTAAATAAATATAACTATGCTGTGTGGGCATGTTGGTGATTATAAATGAGGGGGGTCATAATTAAAGACAACTATTTTGTAATTAAAGCTTCAAACTTTTTCGGATTAGTGGACATTTTGGAAATTGGTCAATAATTTGTAATATTATGTTTATCACCTGATTTATGCACTGGTGTTTTAAATGATTTTTTCCAAATGTTAGATAAACACCTAACCTAAGCCTAATGATTTATTGAAAATCATATGAAGCGAACGAGCAAGAACAGAGCTACAAGTTTTTAAAAACATAGGTGGAATACCATCAGGTCCAAGGCCAGCATGAGTATTTAAAGAATTTAAATAATAAACAATTTCATTGAGATCAATAGTCCAGGAGCATAAATTAAAATAATTATTAGATACATCAGAAGGAAGAGGAACAACTCTATTGAACAGTGAATGATCTTTAGAATAGACATTGGAAAAATAATTTGCAAATACTTGGGCTGTTTCTAAAATATTGGTGGAAGAAGAGTTATTGTAATTTACACAGTCAGGAACAGAATTTTTAGACTTTTTTAGAGAGTTAACATAATTCCATGATATTATGATTTGATATAAGTTTGAATACTATAGTAGTATATATTTGTATGTTCACAGTTCGTTTTTCCACGGTAATTTTTTTTGTTCAAG